ACAATCTTGCGAAAGAGGCATGGGATCTGGACGTGGACCCTTATAAAGTTCCATGTACTGATCTATTTTATTGGATAAAGTCACAAACCATTAAAACTTGGCAAGAGGAGTTTAAAACCTTATCAAAAAGGAAGGGAAGGCTATATGCTACAATTAATCCATCTCCAAAATTTAATACATGGTTTAATAAAAGGCTAGACATCGACAGAAAATTGATTTCAATTTTCTGTAGAATGCGATTCAATCATACATTGTGCAAGGACCAGTTATACCGGTTTCGGATCGTAGATAATAACAAATGCATATGTGGAGCTGCAGAAACAATTGATCACTTATTTTGGCAATGCCATCTTCATAATGAACATCGTAATAAACTATACAAATGTCTGAGTGAAAAGGGAATGTCATTTCCAATAAATACAGTCATATTAGTCGCTACAAACAATATACAAATTTATAAAATCGTTTTGGACTTTATTACTAAATGCAAAATAAAAATTTAAATTTCTTAATTGATATCTGTGTGTATATGTAGGTATGTGTATGTGTATATATAAATATATATGTGCATGTGTGTATGTGTATATATGTATCGATATGTATATAGTTAAGTTTAGATATATATATATATATATATATGTATGTATATATATATATAGTTATAATTAATATTATAAATGTCTGTAATGTGCTAGATAACCATAAGGTTGAAGCCAAATAAATAAATAAATAAATAAAAATAAGCAGTTTAATTTTAAAAATTCATCAAAGTTTGAGAAAATGAGTAGTTTGTTTGACTTTTGTAAAAATTAAAATTATGCTATTTATTTGGTATAACGACAGAGTACTTGGTCTTAATGAACATACTAAACCATTAAAGTCCTCAATTATAAAAATTGTTCATTTTTGAAACCTTGCTTTTAGAAAATACTCCGAGTTAACGTGCTTGTTCGTTTTCAGTTATGTGTAATAAATCCACTCGGAATACTTTTAATCACTCACTAAATTAATTTATTATTTGTTGATTAAGTCGATTATTTACACATGTCGGAAGTTCATGTAACTTGCCTCAAGGCAAAATACCAATACCAGCTAGTTTATTTTATTTTTAAATCAAATTTCTGTTCTAATTTCCAACGGAAGATTTCTGTGATCATAATAATCTGGTTTCGGTATTACGATGAGTTGATATTCTATTTTTCAGTTTTTACGGGGCGATTGTACGCTGGATCTTGACAAATTGTCTTTTCCATAACATTGAACAAAGTGACAAGGCCGTCTACATGGACATAAACGTTTCAAGAAAGATTATGGAAATAATATGGTTTTAGATTTCATACATGTAGTAAAAATAATTAGCGTGAGAATTATTTATATACAAATTTTTCTGTACTATATTGTATTCTTCTTTATTCTTACCTTTTAGTTTCTCTTTGAGTTATGTATTTCATATTGCTATTTTGTGCTGTATTCTATTCTGTGCTTACTAAATCTGACTTATTTACTTTAATATCAGTTTTTATTGTTATCTTTAAATAGCAATCAGAACTACGAGTTCTATCCGCTCCTATGATTTTACTTCTCCTATTTGATTACATTTAGTTAGATTGTCTTGTATATTTTGATGTGTTTTACATCAATGGTTGTAGTAATGTATATTTAGTTTTTTCAGCAATGCTATAAACGGTTATTTTTTATGAAAACTTGTTTTGATCTATATTTTCAAGTTAAAATGGACATTATTATTACTGCTTGATATCAAATTGTCCGAAACGCGGATTTAAATCGGGGAACCGTGATTGCTCCTAACCTCACTCGATACTTACTTTGTTTTTAATGGTTCAGACCATTGTCATTTTCTAACCCATCACAATGACTAATGATAACTAATTCATAATATCATATGATATTAACGAATGCATTTGCAAAATATACAGAAAATCAGCGTACACCGGTAAGACAAGAAACTGTGTATGTTTATACTTGTTTATCTATGGTTGTACTATGAAGAATTTTGTTTTGATTATGATTTTATAATAGGTGAATCATTATCCAAATTCTTAAATCTTTATATTAATATTTTACTTTCAAAATTATATTCGGGTCTTCAAACCTACCTAAGCAAAAATTATAAAAGCTTTTCAAATTTTCTGTACATCAGAAAACTGAAGTCATCATCCGCTATCAATTCGTCCAACAGTTTGCTAAACCAAAAGCAAAAAAAGTGTATAAAAAGCGACAGATAGATAAATTATGATAAACCAAGATTTCTCCTAGTTTTTTTTTTTGAATTTGCGATAAATCATTACCCTTCTTAAGGACCCTTAAAATAATTTTATACAAGCCTCCGCTAAGGCAGGTTATACTTTTGATTGATTAGACGCGCCTGTTGAACTTATTGTTAAAGTGGAAAAAATGATATAAAACCTTTTAATTAAAGGCTTTTATATCTTTTTAAATGAAAGATATGAATTCAAAACTAGGACTTACCTTCCCATAATATTTAACCATTCAGCAGTGGGTTTATTAATTTAAAATAAGTCATTTGAGCGCCTCTGTCGATCCACGCCTAGGACGGCTCAGGCTAGGCACGTTGAGGTCTCGAATTCTGAAAACATCGTAAAATTCACAAAATAGTGTTAAAATTCTATTACATAGCTAAGACCTATGTCATCTATGTCGCACAAGTCAGCTGAACATGTGCGAAATATTTTTCACAAAAAAACATTTCTACCGGCAATTTGGCACTATGTTGCTTACTCAATTATTCACATGGATTTATTACTGTTGATGATATTTGATTCATCACTGTACTGATCCTTGTCTAACAAGAAAGAGGAGTTTAAACAAAGAAGTTAAAACAATTGTATAGGAAAACATGGCTATCGTTTATTTTTGGCCAAAAGAAATTCGTTTCATCACTTTTTTCCTAACTTCTAGTCTTGGCAGTGAGAGGTTTGAAATTTGGGAGGAATGAAGAAGTTATAGAAGCAGTTTGAGGAATCACGTTAAAAATTGGTATAACTATATTAGAACACCTTTATGAGAAATGTATCATACTCAATTGAAATTATATTTAGATATAAATCAAATATATTTTCTTGGTCAACTCGGAAACTTTTCATTTCGTTTTCTTACGTTATGGAACAATATAATATGCCATTGTCAATTTTAACATGCCTTTTGATTGTATTATTTATGTTGCTACAAAAACAATTATCAGAACTATAAATTACACATTCTATTTAGAGCGCCAATGTATATTTAAGGTGGGAAATAATATACCTATAATGGACCTAAATTTACATTTATGCAAACATCATAAATGGGCATGCCATACGGGTGTGCCCGTTTGTCTGCGTTTATATGATAGTCAATACTCATTTTTAGTGAGAGAGCTTAGAAACGATGTATGTTCAATTTTCAGAACATCTGTCAACAACATGATCTTGATTGGAAAATAAACAAAATCAATAGAAACTAGTGATGTATGGCGTTTTGCCTTAAGACAAATTGCATTAACTTCCAATACAGTAATAAAACATTCGAGGAATGAAAATAGTCAATTATCAATAAAAATTGTCAGATTCTACCTGGCTACTTTTCTGTATATCTGGACCTATGTGGACTAAGAGACGAGTATACCTGTCACCTAGTCCCACGTGTCAATAATTTGATTCGTATTTAAATTAATAATATTGATATATTGTTTATTTTTGACTATCAAACGTCAATTTTTAACCTTTTCTTTTGCAACCCTAAAACCACTGGACCTTCCTTCGCAAAAGTTCAACAAATTATTCATTTTGTCATTATAAGTAAAATGTTTATAAATCATTTAAATCGGTTGCTCTGTTCTCTCAAAAACTTAATTTCAATTTTTTGCACTTTTTGCTCCGTATCTCAGACACGGTTGGACCAATTTTTGCCAAAAACTAACTTGAACTATTAAAATCGGTTGATCCGTACTGCCGAAATGTTCGATGAAAAATTGCATACACACACACACATCCATTTTTTCGAAGGTGTTAAAATGTTCAAAACCTCTGAAACGTAAAATATGAAAAAAAAAACATTTGATTTTTGGACGATTACTATGGGAAGTTAAAAACATAACTCAATAGATTATAATATAAACAATAAAATTATATATAAATTTCTATATGTAATAATTACTATGGGAAGTTAAAAACATAACTCAATAGATTATAATATAAACAATAAAATTATATATAAATTTCTATATGTAATAATTAATATATTATTTATATATTATATAAATTTATTTATGATAATTATATAAGATTTATAAAATAATAAGATATATAAAAAACATAAATGAACGAGTTATATAACGAAATATTAAAATAAAAACTATGTATTTTTAAATAATAAATTAGATGCTTAAAGTTCGAGGAAAATACGTAAAGATAAATTGCAATTTTTTATAATTAAAAATTTTTAATTGTCACAAAAAATAGATTTTATGAAGACGGCAGTTTTCAGGTGTGTTCAAATCAAATAGCTAATTAATTTAATTAAGTTAATTATTCAGACTCTTATTCAGTTTATATATTCTTATTCCCAAAGAGCTTGTTCTATCTGTTAAATCGATAGAGTTTATTTTTTGTTTATGCTTCATGGTACAAGGACGGCCGTCACAGATCGCATTTGTATTCGGTTTATGCTTGCCAAGTTGAATTAATTATAATTTCATTTCCTTAACGTCATTAAATTATATTGCGTATATTTGCACATACTGCAAATTCTTGGGCGTATTCGACCATTCAGAGTTTTTATAGACCCAAAAATAATATTTCTCTGAAAATTCGTTTCATATTATTACTCCGGTTATACTTTGATAACTACTTTCATTCATTTTGCTAGATCATCTTATAAGATTTTTGGAGTCAAACCTAATATATAAGAAATATATATATATATATATATATATAATTATATATTATTTTTACGTGTATTTATGATTTTTTATTTCATAGATGCTTGTACCATTGTTTCCTTTGCTGATATTACTCCTAGCCACCTGTTGTTCATGTCATGGGCGAATAGATGAAGAGCTGAGGCCTGTTCAGCCTCCTGAAATACCCACATCAACCACTGCTACAACTTCTACCACCACAAGGTATGTTAGTTTGGTGTTTTGGCACAACCGGTTGCAAAATAAAATTGACGTATTGACGTAGAAACCTTTTGCAGCAAAACTCTTATTGAGGAATGGACCAGAGTGAAACATCCCAAATATACCTGAACGTCATCAAACCGATTTAAAAAATTTGCTATTTTTTAAATGTTTTACCATTTATCACATTATTTTATTCGATTTTATCATTATACAAATGAAATAGAAACATAATATAACTTTAGAGCCAGAGCAGATTTTTTGCTACCATTTAGCGATATACAAAACGAGATACAAACATTATGTTTATTCCAGTTTGCCAACATCATTTCTTGAAAAACTACTTTATATCCTCAATGAATTTCAGATTACCAGAATTTTTTGAATAATCTGCTCTGGTTACCAACTCCCCAATCGTGATGAACCCTATGCAACCTATTTGTATTCCTAGAATTTCAGAATAATCAAATACTATGCATAAAAAATAATAGGAACGTTTATTTATGTTTTACGTATACTTTAGCACAATTGGTTTCTCATCGAGAAGTTCGGCTCGTTCCCAGTCCGAAATGGATCTAGACTGTTTTCATGTACCAGAGGAAGTGTGCAAAGATGAGTTGCTGTGGAAGGACAATGATGACAACGCGCCTAAAAGCAAATGCCGAAGGATGGACAATATTCCGGAAGCTGTAGTATGCTGCAATGTTACTAGATTTACATTGTTGGAGAGTTTGTCATTAGCGGGTGAGTTTTAAACACGATGTTATTAACAGACCAAAAAGGGCGCCTGCTGAATAAAACTATAGTCATAAAACTTCAAATAATAGCTATTAGAAAGGATAAAATTTACAAATTTTTACTCGAGTATCGCTTATTGTTATACATTATGAAATTTGTTTTAGATAAATGGGCCGACTCTGTCGCACAACAGACCAATGTTATGGCAAGGCCATGTTACGCTCCAACTTCCATACATTTTGCTAGTGAATCATACTGAGTACTATCAAAATGTCATGAACTTGCTGTACATTCAAACGTTTTACGAAAAACTGCAACGTCACTTGTGTTATGAAGCTGGGTCAGAAAGACCCTATTATCTTAGATCGTTTTTTTTTACATTTGTGCGGTTTCTAGGTTAGGCTTCTTGAGAAAAACGCCTGACTGCACAGCAACTACATTGCCTTTTTCAATATTTAGTATGGAACGTTCTTCATAACATAGCCTTGCCATAACATTGGTCTGTCGTGCGGGAGAATCGGTCCAAAAATATATGTTTTATAAGCATGATATTAACATTATTTTATAGATTAATAAATATTGTTGTCAATTATTTTTGCTGATTTTTTTTGCACTTGCTATTATTTTGTAATTGAATGTGGAAGTAAAACAATGAAAATAAAATTTAATAAATTTTATTTATTATTCTACATTTAATATTTCTTTTTCGTATGATAAGCAGTATAACAATCATCAACATGTAATGGTACACAATAGCATTTACAAATATATCTAGTTTCGGTTAGCAACGTTCGGCCCTACAAGCACGAGGTAACTTGTGACCTGTCAATAAAGTGTTAATATAATGGAAAATTCATTTAAATAATTACTGACAAAATCAAGATAAATAAATTATTACTTAAATATTTTTTGAGCGTTACGAATATCAGTTATGCGTTAATGATCCAATAAGCGCAATAATGAATAATATATTCATTATGAAAAAGCTTTATGAAGGTATAGTACGATATACTCGTATACAGTAAATTGTATAAAAATATCAGGTTTTTGATAACGATAAAGTTTCAGTTCACAGTTGACAGCATCGCATATTTATTGTCAATTTTACACCATAAGTCAGTTAAAAGGCACATATTTTAAACAAAATACGATAGTTGACATACCTTTCTTTTTTTTTAATTTCAATAATTATTACAACTGTTAAATTATTAACATCTAGTAATATTGATAAATAATAACATAAATTTAAATAAATAAAAGTGCAAAGGATAAAATTTACATGAAAATAATATCCGTAATATGATTTGATATAAAATATAAGCAAATAATAATAAAAATAAAATTAATAAATAATATAAATAAAATTTCTGATTAATAAAATAATACTAGAAAAATAATAAAATATAACAAAATGACAATAATAAAAATAGTAGGATAATAATAATAATAATATTAATAATAATAATAATAATAATGTTAGCGTTTACAAAATTATGAGATCATTGGGAATTTTTCGTTTTAGCCTTGTTGGGCGCGCTTCTGAGAATACTTTGTGTGCCAAGTAATTTGGGTGTTCGTCTATTCTTCTTTTGTAGTTGTTTGTTTTTTGTTGAATTTCTTCATTTACTGTCATCATGCTGCTGTCCTGGTGAATCAACCAGTTGGGAACGTACCTAGGTGCGTTCAGTGCCTGCCGTATGATCTTGTTCTGCATTCGCTGAATAATCTGTAGATTGTTTTTTTTTGGCGGTGCCCCATAGTTGAATCCCATAAGACCACACTGGTTTGAAAATACATTTGTAAATAATTAGTTTGTTGTTTGTCGACAGTTCGGAACGTGTATTCAGTAGCCAGTAATGTTTTTTAAATAGTTCATCAATCTGCTGTTTTTTCTTGTTAATGTGAACTCTCCAGTTCAATTTTGTGTCTAGGTGTATTCCGAGATATTTTACGCTATCTTTTACTGGGATTTCCTGTCCATTTAACTTAATTTTAGGGCATATACCAGTACGCAGCGTGAAAGTGATATGCGTAGATTTTGAGCCGTTTGTCATAATCCTCCATAAAGAAAGTCATTTTGTAGCAATATCTAGATGTTCTTGTAATAGTTGCGAAGCTATGCGGGATCTTTATTGGAAGCAATGATACATGTATCGTCAGCAAATGTCGACACGTTTGTTCCGGAGTATAAAAGAAAATCCGCTGTGAATATAAGGAATAAGGTTGGAGAAAGTACGCTTCCCTGGGGCACCCCAGAGAGGATCTTTCTTTTGGTCGACTCCTCGTTGTTGATGCTGACGAAAAATTCCCTATTTTCAAGGAACGATTTTATTATTGAAAATATCGGTTCTGATAAACAGAGTTTTAGTTTGTACAACAAACCAGTGTGACATACCTTTCTGGATTATGATTAGTGAGTGATAAGTAATTTTGATCATTGTTAATGTGTGAAACTGAAATCATGAATCAAGCATGAATCATGTGTATAAAAAATATGCAGATATATTAATTTATCTATAAAAAAATCCGACAATTTTATGTATAATTATATTATTTTTTATCACAATTTTAAAATTACTCCACATAAAGTTCATCATAGATTATTTCGTATGTTTCAGGTCTAAATGGTTCTAACAAGATACGAGCGCTCCATGTACGCAATGCAACTATGGAGTCATTAGATCTGTCTGAACCTAGATATAAACAATTAACTTCAATATCCATCACTGATGGTAATATCACCAAATTGGCAGGAGAATTTACAAAAATGACATCTGTTACATGTTTAAATGTGTCCAATAACAATATAAATAGCATAGAACCAAGAGCATTGTCTAATTTATATGATCTAGTTATGCTGGATTTGTCTCATAACAACCTAACAAGAATGCCCAATTTTAGGAAGCCGGAGAAAAATTTTACAATTGATATTATGGGTAAGTAATAGTTTGTAAATTTTATTATTGTATTCCTAGTTTATTGAACAATAAGTCATAAATATATTTCGAGTTAATTATGCAATTATACGTAATATTTTCTTGTAGGCAATGACGGCATGCTATGTAAGAGTGTCACTGAAACTATGAATAATACCGGTCCAGGGGGTGCGATCAATTTTAATCATGTCAATGAAACATTTTGCGCGTCATCGTTGAAGTATCAGTGGTTCAACAGTACTGAAATGATAACTCTTCGAAATGTGTTGTTTGCGCATCAGGTAGAAGAAACATTTATTTATTTACTCTTTAAAATTGCATTAATTTGTCGTTCTGCATATTTTCAGTAAGTTATTTGTTTTGTGACTTGCTCACGTGAGCGTACGCCAAAGTTTAAATGCAGGTGACCCCCTTATATGACGGTAGTTACGTTCCAAAAAACTACAAAATGAGGCGTTGAGTTCCAAAAATTGATAAAACATGGTACATATTATAATTTCATTATTAAATTTTCTTAAGTAATACACATTAAATGAAATAAATGATATTTGCTATGAGTGAAAAGATATTTATATATTTCTTTATTGATGTAAAGCACATGCAAAGTTCACTTTATTAAAATTTTGTGCTCATTTAATTTGTTCAGCCAGAGGAGCATTAATTTATTATGCCTTTTTTCGAGAGAATGTACGCGCTCGAATAAAAAATAACAATAATGTATCTTTTGTAATAGTTTTATCATGTTTATTAAGCTATTATACGTTCATTTTACTGACTTCAAATTAGATAACGTTAATTTTACATAAGTTCTAAGTTTGCCGTGATATAAGGGAGATATCCGCAATTATTGACGTAATGTGTTATGCGGGGGTTAACTGTATTTGAAGCTTAAACAAAGATAAGATGATGATTTATCAAAAATAAATAAAAAACACCTATACTCCAATAACGCAAGATTGTATTTACAGCTTGAATCTGAATGTAAGAACATCCTAAATCAATCTAAAAACTATGTTCCATGTACATGCCAACCATCACGTATGGACATGGTACAAGGTCGACCAGCCACTCTTTCTGTAGGAGTTGACTGTTCATATAGAAAACTGACATCGTTGCCCGAACATTTACCTCCAAATACTTATAAACTAAACATTACTGGTAATAATGTGAGTAAAATTTGTTATGTCAATTAGATGAACATGTGAGTAATCAAAAAACATGTTTTTATACTATTGTATGTCGATTTTACACAATCAATATATATCGTTTATAATAACTATCTAGTTTGTAGTTTTTTTATACTTTCTTTATCCTTACTAGTAAGAACAAAATATATGTTTATATTTTATTCTTAACATGTTTGAAAAGCAAAATATTTATAAGTAAAATAACAAAAATTCGTATAATCTGTCTTCACTGTTTTGAGAATTCACTTTGCCATCATTCGTAAAGGGTATTCACGAATATTTCTGCATGTAATATCTTATATAAAATATAGATAGAATATTTTATAGAAGATCTTTTTTTCTCTTATGAATCAAATCAGGTCCAGACATTTCGCAGATATCAAAATTGCCATTTGATAGCTCAAAATGATTATTTAATAAGCATCAAATTACATATTCTTGAAGGAGAACTTTGTTTTTTGGAAAATCCGATTAGCCAGGTTTTCTTGAAACTTCAAGTCATTCTCAATTGTTTGTCGGGCCGTGACGAAATTTTTTTAAAAATGTTGAAGCTTTGAACAGAATTTTTTATCAATCAAAATTTTACAAACATTCGTATCTTAAAAATTGTCCAGAATTTTCAAAAAAAAATTAATTTCAAAATCTTCAAATTAATTTCATTTTCACAATTTTCAAAGACTCTAAGGATTGTTTTACTGTGTATGACAATAGATAACTAAGATAATTCTTGTGGGATTACTCAAAATTTCATTGATTATTCTACTTTGGATGATCAATTTTTATTCATCAGGTATTTTAGTTGTAACTGTATCTCATATCACATTTTAATCGCATGTGTTAGAAAAGAACTAAAACCAACAACAAGTTTTGTACTGAACGTGCACAATGTTACATAATAATGTGTACAATATTTTGCGATCAGTTTTGGTTTATTTTGTATTTTCAGAAGTAGTTGGAATTAAAAATGAAAAAATTTAATTAGAAATGGTTTATTTTTAGATTACAAGTCTTTCTGCATTGAATGATGATCCTATTTATCAGTATATTCGCGAACTAATCGCAAAAGATAATCAAATAGAATCTATCTCTGAACTGGAAGGAACGAAATTTATGGATAATTTTGTGCTTCTGGATTTAAGTAATAATGCATTAAAAACTGTATGTATTTCATGCTAGACTTGATTAAATGAATGATTATTAATAATTTAATTTAATTCATAGATTCACGCTTATATTTTATCAAATTCCTTTGATAGAAATAATGATCGTAGGAAAGTTTTTCTGGGAGGTAATCGCTTACATTGTGATTGTAATACTGCAAAAGTTCTTAAGGTATGCAATATATTATCTTGTTTCTGTTTTGCAAGTCGAATTTTGTTTTCACAAAATTGTGTTTCATTAATGTTTGTTATAATTGTTACTGAAAGCAAATTTCTACTCTTGCTTTTACTTACTTTTTGAACTTGCAAAAAAGTTTCAGAATACTATAAAGTTAAATTTATTGTTAATTACAAAGTGTTCGAACTTACTGTATTTACAGGTATGGCTGTTAGGGAAAAGAAACTTCATTCCTGATTATAATGCAATTGAATGTGGAAATTCTCCTTCTAAAGTTATAGACTTGGCAGAGAGCAAAATGTGTCAATCACTTAGAGATTGGACTGATTATATATACTACATTATAGCAGTTGAAGTTATGTTACTTGTTTGTTTAATCTTAAAAGTTACATATGACTATTGGATATTCAAAACAGCTGGATATTTGCCTTGGCCAGCTAACAAAATGCCCAAATTGCCATGTGATTGGTTATGTGAGACATAATTGATTTATATGTAAGCTTTCTTTTGCCTTATATCAATGCACACGTTAAGACTGATTTATTCTATAATATGTATGTAAACAATTATTGTGTGTAATAAATTGTTTAAATTTATTTTTTTATATTAATACAATAAAGTTTAATCAAACCTGTGGATGCATAAATTAGGTATGCTAATTAGTACATGTCGTGAATGTAATATATTTTAATCCTTTTTGGTCGTTTGACAACTCTGTCACCAAAGCCTTTTTACCGTTTCGGTCAACCGTTTTGTATAATTTTTATACAAAAACAACACTAAATAAGTGTATTGATTAAAAATATATCTAAAGTGCACAAAACAATTATTTAATCTTGTTAACACATCCTAAACTTGCGTGTTCAGCTTTATCGACGGAAAATAATTCCGAGCAATACGATACCCGTCTTGAAATTTAATTTGACCGAAAAGGGTTAAAATGCAATTTAGTTTTATATATAAAAAATACTACAAAATATATGAATTGTTTTTATGATGGGTTTCTCAAAGAAAGTATAAAGGAATCTTAAAAATGCCTTCATGAAATTCACTCCCCACACAGCACATGTGTGGTTCCGCATGCCTGAATTTTGGTCAATCTCCACATTATAATGAGCCGAATAACCGGCCCCATATGCGACGTGAGTCATCCCGGTAGGCATAGAATTGATGAAGAATAGTTTATTGATTTGATTGAGGTCGGTATTTGGCAAATACGTTGAGAATCGTTCGATCACAGGTGAGAATGCGGCATTTAGATTGAAAATAGTTTGATTGTCGGTAAAATTTGGCATAGGTCTTGAAAATAGAATGATCATAGTTTAAAAAATGCGGCATATATCTTGAGTATAGTTTGATCGTAAAAAATAGAAATTAAAAATATATATTAAATTAAAAAATTTGAAATTACATTTTCTTTTTTTTTTTCAAATATGCTTCAGACTGTTTTCTGTATCATGTTTTTGATTTTTCATGTTTTTTTTTTCTTTTCCAAGATTTTTTTCCAAGTTTTTTCTGACAAAATTATTTGTTCAATTTCAAGTTTTCTTTTAACAAACATTTTTTCCAAATTTTTTTCTCTACATACTTTTTCGGGTGACTTGACATACGAGCGCTTCGAAATACGAGTAATTCGTGTTCCAAGCTATTTAAAACAACAATTGGAACATTACATGTCAAATTATTTGATGAAAAAAATATTTTTGCGAAAAAATTCTTGGAAATTTTTTTTTCAAAAAAAAATTTTTTAATTTATTTTTCCAAAAATCATGGATTTTTTTTCCACAATTGCTTTCCACAATTTTTTGTCCAAATTTATTCCCCGCTTTTTTTACTAAATTTTTTCCCCCCAAAATTTTTATTCCAAATTTTTTTTTCCAAAAAATTAAAGACTTAGTTCATGGTTTTTTCCAAAATTTTCCCCAAATTTGTTTTGTCAACATTTTTTTCCCTAAAATTTTTTCTCCAAAATCTTTCCTCTTCCTATCACCTCTTTCTACCACCTTCCCCTCGTGGCTGACACCTTATCGTCGTGAGGGGGTTCAGTTGGCCGATAACCGTCCAATTGCCAAGAGCAGTCGCTGCTCACTCACTTTTAAGTAATATCCTTTCACCACTTAAAAAAAATAAAAGAAATTAAATAAAATACCAGTTTCCAAAGATGACGTGGTATATGAAATAATTCAACATAAGTAGTCCAAATAACTAATAACAAATAAAATTAAGAAGATAAACCTGATTAATTTGAATAAATGAAATAAGGACAAAATATACGCGTATAAAACATTTTTTCCCAATTTTTTTTGCCAAAATTTTTTTTTATTTTTTTTTCCCAATTTTTTTTTCATTTTTTTTTCCTAATTTTTCTTTCCAAATTTTTTTTTCAGATTTTTTTTTGTCCATAATTTTTGCTACATTTTTTTCCTAAAATTTTTTCCCAAAAATTTTTTTCTCAAAATTTTTTTGACCAAAATTTTTTGTCCAAAAATGTTTTCCCAAAAGTTTTTTGACCAAATTTTTTTTTCAAAAATTTTTTTGCCCAAAATTAGTTGACCAAAATTTTTTTGACTAAAATTTTTTGACCAAAATTGTTTTCCCAAAATTTTTTTGACCAAATTTTTTTTGTCCAAAATTTTTTCCTACATTTTTTTTCCCAAAAATTTTTATCGCAAAAATAAATTTTTTTGACCAAACATTTTTTTTCCGAAAATTTTTTGACCAAACATTTTATCCCCAAATTTTTTTTGACCAAAATTTTTTTTCCGCAAATTTTTCCCAAAAATTTTTTTCCCAAAATTTTTCCCAAAATTTTTCGCAAATTTTTTTCCAAAATTTTTCCCAAAAAATTTTTCTGACCAAAATTTTTTAAAAAATTTTTTAGACCAAAAATTTTTTTGTCCAAAATGTTTTTCAAATTCCAAAATTTAATAAAATTGAATTGGGTGAAAAGGTAGTTTTTTTGACATGTTTGAACCGACTTTATACAAGTTTTTAAATAGATATATGGATATATAGATATATTTAAATAGATAGCTACTTACAAGTCAAATTTTTTTTTTCCAAATTTTTTTTTCCAAAATTTTTTTGAACATAAACTTTTTTCACAAGATTTTTTTGATCAAATTTTTTTTTTCCAAAATTTTTTTTCCAAAATTTTTTGGACCAAAATTTTTTGACCAAAAATTTTTTTGACCAAAAATTTTTTTGACCAAAATTTTTTGGCCAAAAATTTTTTTGACCAAAATTTTTTTGACCAAAGTTTTTTTCCAAAAATTATTTTGACCAAAATTTTTTTGACCGAAAAGTTTTTTCAAATTTTTTTTCCAAAATTTTTTTTTCCAATTTTTTGACCAAAAATTTTTTTGACCAAAATTTTTTTGACCAAAATTTTTTTTGACCAAAATTTTTTTTTGATCGAAAATTTTTTTTGATCAAAAATTTTTTTTGACCAAAAATTTTTTTAACTAAAAATTTTTTTGACCAAAATTTTTTCAACCGAAAATTTTTTTTCAAATTTTTTTTGACGAAAATTTTTTTGACCCAAATTTTTTTGACCAAAAATTTTTTTGACCAAAATTTTTTTGACTAAAAATTTTTTTGATCAAAAATTTTTTTGATCAAAAATTTTTTTGACCAAAATTTTTTTAACCAAAAATTTTTTTAACCGAAATTTTTTTTTCAAATTTTTTTTTGACCAAAATTTTTTTGACCCAAATTTTTTTGACCAAAAATCTTTTTTCTTAAAATTTTTTAACCAAAATTTTTTTTAACCGAAAATTTTTATTCAAATTTTTTTTTCACCAAAACTTTTTGACCAAAATTTTTTTGACCAAAATTTTTTTGACTTAAATTTTTTTGACCAAAATTTTTTTGAACCAAATTTTTTGGACCAAAATTTTTTTCCAAAAATTATTTTGTCCAAAACTTTTGGACCGAAAATTTTATCCCAATTTTTTTTCCACAAAATTTTTTTCACCAAAATTTTTTTTCCTAAAATTTTTTGGACCTAAATTTTTTTGACCAAATTTTTTTTTCTTAAATTTTTTTTGACCAAAATTTTTTTCCCAATTTTTTTTTCAAAAATTTTTTGACCAAAAATTTTTTTGACCAAAATTTTTTTTCGAAAATTTTTTTTCCAAAAAATTTTGGAAAAAAAATTTTTTTTCTCAAAATTTTTTTGTCCAAAATTTTTTTTGACCAAAAGTTTTTTTGACCAAAAATTTTTTTGACCAAATTTTTTTTTCGAAAATTTTTTGGGCCAAAATTTTTTGGGCCAAAAATTTTTTAGACCAAAAATTTTTTTGCCAAAATTTTTTTCGAAAATTTTTTGGGCCAAAATTTTTTTGACCAAAATTTTTTTGACTAAAAATTTTTTTGACCAAAATTTTTTCGACACTTCGATATTTCGACTTTCCGATAATCCGACATTCCGATAATCCGACATTTCGATACTTTGATATTCTGACATTCCGATACTCCAATACTCCGAATTTTTGACCAAATTTTTTTTCGAAAATTTTTTCAGCCAAAATTTTTTTTCGAAAATTTTTTGGGCCAAATTTTTTTGGGCTAAAAAATTTTTTGACCAAAATTTTTTTTCGAAATTTTTTGGGCCAAAATTTTTTTGACCAAAATTTTTTTTGACGAAAATTTTTTTGACCAAAAATTTTTTTGACCAAAATTTTTTTTCGAAAATTTTTTGGCCAAAATTTTTTTGACTAAAAATTTTTTTGACCAAATTTTTTTTGACCAAAAATTTTTATGACCAAAATTTTTTTCGAAAATTTTTTTGGTCAAAAATTTTTTTGACCAAAATTTTTTTTCGAAAATTTTTTGGGCCAAAATTTTTTGGGTCATAATTTTTTTGACCAAAATTTTTTTGACCAAAAATTTTTTTGACCAAAATTTTTTTCGAAAATTTTTTGGGCAAAATTTTTTGACCAAAATTTTTTGACCAAAATTTTTTTGTCTAAAAATTTTTTGACCAAAATTTTTTTGACCAAAATTTTTTGGGCCAAAATTTTTTT